CTCTGGTGCAAATTACTGACCTCTGTCATCATTTTAGGTGGGGGAACTTGCACAATCGGTGGCTGACTAAATACTTTTTTGCCCCACTGTACAGTAACTTCCATCAGGACCTGCTTATAATGTACTACGTTATTACTGGTATTATGGCTGACATCCTATTTCTGACCTGTTTTGTTATGGTTGTCTCTCAGTTACGAGTCTGCAGAGCCCGCTGCTCTGCCTATATCAGCCCTGGAGGGGAGGGGCTTGGAACAGCTGAAGGAAGCAGTGGAGGAGGAGATCTTAAAGGCCACGGGGAAACAAATTTTAGATCTCAAAGTTAACCTGAGCTCTCCTCAGCTAAGGTGGGATTGTCTGTGTCAGCGTATCGTTTGGATCAATGGAGCACGTGTGGTAACATGTGTATGCTTTTCCACAGCTGGCTGTACAAAGAGGCCACCGTTCAGGACGTGCAGGTGGATGCAGACGAAGGTTCGGCCGTTGTCAAGGTCATCATCAGCACCGCTGCTCATGGGCGCTACAAGAAGCTGTTTGGAAGCAGATGAGAGGGGAGGAAGGGCGAGATAGCAGAAGTAAAAATGGACTGTACCTCAGTTAAAGAAAAGACTGCTTTTACTGTACAGTATGTTAAAATATATAATGATACAAATCTGTTACAATGTTTTCTTGTAAAAACTCAGATTGCACAAAGATTCAGATGCACAAATGACCCACGAGAGATAAAAGGCAAACTTCAGATGGCTCTAAATGCTCAGTTTCATCTCTTTCTACACACACCTGCTGTGAAAACCTTCTGTTTGCGACTGGCAGCAAGTCCGAAGAAAGTTGGCTAAAGGGGGAGGGGCTAAAACAGCTTGTTTTTATGGTAAACTGAGGGTTTCACGAAGCCACTCTAGTCGAGTATAGGAATAAAAAGGTTGTAATAAGCATAAAATGCCCTCATGAGTTGATGTTGAGGCAGACAGAAGTTACAGTTCTTTCAAGTCTTAGTGGAGACAAAAATTCACGTAAACTGCGAGACACCGAGGAACACAGGAAATGAGGTTTGGTGTGGCTAATAATGCTTTTTCATCCGTCTGGAGTTCTTCCGGCAAAGTTTTTGGTTCAGTGCAATCACGGCAGAGCAGAGCGGCAGTGAACCCACAAAGTCTCCCGCGATGATGTTGAGGCTCCCAGCGTCTGATCCGGGACTCTGTTCCTCAAGCCATGTCCTCACATACTCCCAGTTGCTGTAGGTGAGCGTCCGCAGGGATTCCTTCTGGTTCTTGGTGATGTAATATCTGTCAGCTGTCAGGTTCAGGCCGGACACAAAGAAGCCCTCTGAGGAGAGAAAACGGAGTTTTTAGCCATTGACGCGCATACATATCTAATCTCTACAGTCCAAACTCACCTGGACGTCCCAGGTCTTTGTGCCAGTCCAAGTAAGTCATGACTCCATGTGCTCTGCGCTGGTTGGCCCACCAGTAAGGGACAGGAGGCCACAGCTCCTGATGTCTCACTGCAAGCTGGCATTCATAGGAGAGGATGACCTGATAACCCGACGCCCACAGACTCCGCAAGGTCAGCGCCGATTCCTGTGGAGGACCAGCGGGCCACTCTTAAGTCCCGGTGCACCAAACATTTTTTGTACCATAAATCACCTGTGCAGAGAGACAAGCTCACCTTCTGGGGACACAGCTTAGAGCCAAACAGTTTCTTCAGGGACCAAATGAACGATTCGTGGCATTTGTCATCCATTCCTTCAAAATGGCTGCAAGCGAGGATAACGATCTCCTTCGGGTGAGCCTCGAGCCAAGCAGCAACAGACTCAAGTGTTTCCTGTTAAATAGGATACTCACTGTAACTACCAGAAGAGCCAGACTTATGCTTTTAAAAATAAACCGAACCCTTTAAGCTCTTTGTAGAAATCTCCACCTCTAAATAAACTGACATACAAAGAACTCCAGCAAAAAGTGATCAAATCTGTACCAGCTGGTAAATGCTAATATTGTTTAAAAGACTTTCTGTTGCATCTCAAAATAATACAATCCAATAGAAATGAGATCTATTCAGGTGCAGCAGAACCTTGAACTTTGAAAAAAATTGTGCAGTAGTGATTTGTTTTTTCTAATAACACTAACTGTCAGGTGAAGGTGCTAAACTCACCAGTACGGTCACATGAGTGTATATGACGTGTGTGAAGTACAAGTCGCTGGACGAGTCGTTTGGTTTGTGTGCAACACGAAGGTCAAAGTACCGAATCCCCATTGAAAGCTGTTCTTCAATGGTTTTATCCTGACAGGAAAGAGGTCAACATGATTTCCTGATGGAGGCGTCACTGAAACCAGTCCTGGATTCAGTGACCTCGTCATCAACACCACCTCCCATTTTTGCGTGCATTCATTTCAAACATTTTTTCGACTGACTAACTTCGGTTTACTCTACATGGTTCCATCCAGCTTACCTGTTTCAACCACATGCAAAGTACTTTATTTAACACTCATTTTCTACATCATAACCAGTTTAAACGATTTATCATTTGCGTTTAGATACAAATGATATATTTTTAATCAATAGTTCTTTTTATCTAGATGTCCAGCACCGTGCCTGACAGTTGGCATGATGACCAAATATCCCCGCTTTGGTCTCCTAAGGACGCTGATCCAGAAACCTTGTGGATTGTTCAGATGCAGCTTTGCCATGTTCTTATAAGAGAGAAGGTTTCTCCTCCCAAACAGCCTTCAGCCTTTTTCTAATTTGTTATCCTGAACTTTAACGATTAACATGCTAACTGAGGCCTGTTGAGTGTGAGATGCAGCTCTTGGGCTTTCTGTCGTTTCTCTGAACATTGCAGGGTTTGACACTGACGGAAATTTGAAGGGATGTCCAGCTGTTGGCAGCTGTTTTGCATGTTTTTAACGTGGGAATAATCTGTCAACACTTGTCAACACACACCTGCATGTTCCAGGCCAGGAAACTGTCACAACTTCTGCTTTTACAGAGATACTCACGCATGCTGATGCTCAGTTAATAAAGTTCATTTGATTAGCTCGCACCTGGCCTTTTATTTCCTACAGCAGCAGTAACTGTGAAAAACAGTATCGCTGCACTTTTTCTGTTTTCTTGATTAGTTCAGCTGATTTTTTTAGACCTTGGCTCCTGAGCCCTGGTCTGTAAATACATTTACAAAGCACACTGAGTAGTTAAGAACTTTTTTGGCATATAAACAGCATTTTGTACTACAATCAATATTTGTACAGCAACACTGGATCACATGACTACTCACATGTGGAGTGTTTAAATGTATTTCTTCTCATTTTTGCTTTCTATCATCAACTTACAGTCTTTCTGTCTGCAGCCAACAACTTTTTAAATAAGTATATTAAGAAGACCAAACAACCTGTTTAATCTTCAGACCGTCTCGTCTCAGCACCCATGGCACTGACTTCTCAGTTGTCCTCACACTTTTGCCGACATAGTGACAGCGCAGTGGTTGTACTTTCAGTGCCTACCTGTGTGGTGGCCCATTAGTGACAGCGCAGTGGTTGTACTTTCAGTGCCTACCTGTGTGGTGGCCCATCTAAAAATGGCCGGCCTTGTGAAGCAGCTAAAAACTCCATCCAGGAGCCGGAAAAAGTCCGACTCAGCCCTGACCAACGGGGAGTTTATGTCCAGGCAGTAACTCATGGCATCGTGGCTTCCTACAGGAACACATTTTAAAAGTAAAGAAACTGGTTTGTGGCGCAAGTTGCTTCAAAAAAATTCTTACTTGCTTGTTTATCTGATAAATGTTGACTTTGTTGTTTACTGTGTCTGTGTGTGATCATGACTGTTTTGTGTAACTGTAACAATCCCAGTCTGAATTGTTGTCCAGTGGTAAAAGAAGATCATTTACTTCAGTGAAAGTAACAATACCAGAGTGTAAAATATGTATGTAAATGTTGTATTTGTGAGTGAAAATATAAAAATAATATCAGAGAAATGTAATGAAATTAAAACAAAAAACAATGTTCCCAGTGAGAGGGGAGCCCCAAAGGTCAGGGTGACCAGGTCTAACTTCACACATCGAGTCCATTCTCTCAGTTTTGTAAAACTAAAAGAATAACAAACAACACAAGCAAAACGGCTCAGCTTCACATGAAAATGATTTTTCAAACAGGGTTTGAAGATGTCGATGGTGGTGGTTGGTGAGGTCCACTGTTCAGTGTCGCTACAACAAAGGCCCGATGTCCTCTACACCTTAATCTGTTTCTCAGTAAAGGCCAGAAGCATCCAGCCAGCTGACAGCAATGATCTTTTGGGAGTGTGCATAGTTTAAAAACCAGAAAGGTGAGGCAGGGCTAACCCATCCAGTGACTTAAAAACAAACAATGAAATCTATGACGCGCTGCAGCCAGTGTGAAGTAGCCAAAACAGGGGAAATGTGGTCTGGTTTGCACACAGCCAAAAACAAATCTGTCTGTGAATATGCAGAGTTTTAAACCACAGAGATAACACATTTCTTACACTGCACATAAATAATAAAAATATAAAGTAGTTGTGAAATAAGTTTAGTGGAAGGAAAAGTCTAGTATTGAAGTACACATGTAAAGTAGAATAAATAGTACTAACATAAAGTATTACCAGGTATTACTTCAATACTAAGTAAACGTATTTAGTGATTTTCCATTGGTAGATAATTGTAACACTGATGCTTTTGATATTTTTGTGTTTAAAGCGCCTTAAAACCTCAGGTGACTGTCACATATTTAAACACAGAAATACGACAATTACACGACTGTTGGCTGCGCTGTGCGTCTATAAATTCACGAGGAATCCTAAATGTGCGAATGTACCTGGAATGGCCAGGTGTGTGAGAGGAACGTCCCACAGCTCTTCAGGTAAGGCTGACATCCAGTCCCGGCAGCTCGCATCCATGTCGCTCAGTCACTCACCGAGTTATTGATCCGGTAGATCTGTTTCGAGTGATCGATGCGGTTTTAACCCCCTGTGCGCTGATCTTTAAGTAAACAAGCTACATGAGACAGAGGAGGAGGGACGCAGGAAAAGCTTTAATTTCCTGGTTTCCACTGACAGCTCAGTCATATCTAGATCATTTAGGCACATTTGGAAAAGTCTCCGAAAACTTTCGTAGCAGCGGGTTTCTTTGAAGTCACCACGAGTTCCCCAAACAGGAAGTTTTGAGCGACACGTCATTTTTACATTTGTCGGTCACTGTTTCTAAATCACTGTAGTTCTTTTAAATGGTGGACCAAGAGCCGCCCCACTATTACTTAAGGCAGTTCAGCCGGTGGCACAGCAGAGGGCGCTCGGGAGGTAAACTCAATGGCGCTAAACAGCGAAATTATAATTGTTTTCTTACACACATACAATAACAGTAGTCGACGAAAAGGTAAATAACACAAGACTCGTATTCTTTAGTTTTCCTACACGGAAGCAGATTCGGGCCATTAAAACGTCAATCTTCTTCTAATGCATGCTGATTGGTCCATTGGAGTGTTCAACCTTGCATATCATCTGTTTCTCTCCCCAACCCTTTAGATTC